AGTCCAACATTGCGGAACCAACCCCCTTCAAAGCTGAAACCTCAAGGCGAATTTCCGTCATTGGAAATTCTCTCGACAACCACACCATCTTACTCATGGCACGTCTACGAACGAGAGTTTCACTCACCCGTGCCATGAAACGGGCCGTCTGTGAGCATCGTAAATCCCACAACACCTTAACTCAAGACGACCTAGCTGAATGGCGTGCGTCCCGTTTTGCTCTTCCAGGCATTCCTTCACGCCCCGCAATCTGCAAGGTGCTCAAAGAAGAGGAAAAATGGATGAGGGAATGCCCTAAGCTGGACAACCAACGTCGAGAGAGGAAGGGGCAATTTCCAAGTCTGGAACTTCGACTATGCGCCTGGATTAATTCAGCCGCGGCAGCAGGCCTTCCTCTTACTCTAGCTGTGATCAGGCACCGTGCACGTCAAATGGCGGAAGAAATGAACTGCCCTTCAAGTTTCAAATGTTCCTCTGGGTGGTTGGTCCGTGCATTGAAGAGGATGGGCCTGAGGTGCCTCACGCGCAAGGGTGAAGCGGCAGATGCTGACATGGATGCTGTCGAAGTGTGTCGCCAAAATCTGCCACGTTTATTACAGAGCCTGGGAGTTCCACCGGCGGATTGCTATAATTTTGACGAGACAGCACTCTACCCGGCACAACAGCCACGCCGTACTTACGCGGCAGAGACTCTTGCTGGTGGAAAAGGATGCAAGGAAAGGCTCACAATTGGGTTACTGTGTAACGTGGATGGCTCAGACATGAGAAGACCCCTAGTCATCGCAAAAGTACAAAGGCCTCGTTCTTTCGTACGTGGCTTCGACGTCGAAGAACATGTCGTATGGAGGTGGAACAGGAAAGGTTGGATGACCAAAGAGGTGAGAAATCAACGGCGAAACAATAGTGATTTCTTCAAAGAGCAAACAAGTAGTCCGTGGTGTATCGTGAAGTTTCATTAGGCACAATTTGATTTCAAAAGCAATATCAGCCATAGATTATTGTTCTTGTTCCTTTCCCGATGCTATGTGCAGATCTTCAAGCCCTACATGGAGAACCTGAATGCATCATTCTTCGCACAAGGACGGCAAATCATTGTGCTAATGGACAACGCATCCTCGCACGCACTTGACCGCATGCATGGCCAAGAAGAGACACTAATGGGTTTCAAGACATTCAAGATGTCTAATGTTCGCGTCATTTACCTACCTGCCAATACAACAACTTTTTTGCAGCCGCTGGATCAAGGCATCATAGCAACTCTGAAGATGAGGTTTAGAAAGCTCTGGGTGGAGCAGCTAGTGGCATGGTGGGAATCTGGAATTCAGCGGCGAGAACTTCACAGATCGAAACCTGGCGCAAGGGTGACTGTCACATGGGTCGCTAGCAGTTGGAGTTCAATAGATGCTGGCACGGTGCAGAGGTGCTGGTGGCGGACTGGGTGCCTCCCGGATTCTTGGTTACTCACGCTGACTCATGTGAACCCGTTTATTGGAGTTGTGCCATCGGACCCCCCTCAGGTTGAAGTGCAAGAGATGTCTGTTGCGATTGGGCAGCTCGGCCTTGGTGTTCGACGCATGGCCCCATTGGAGTTTGTGCTCCTTGATGACAGTCAGCCCACGTCCGAACTTATGGTGCCGGAATTGAGGCTTCCATTGACGGTGTTGGGTGCAGATTTCGAGGATGCAGATTTCGATGTTCCTTCCCCTACGGCGTCAGCTGACGGTGTTTTGGATCGAGGCACTCGGCGCATTGCGAGGCAGGCCACCGGAGTGCTGGTTGGGTTTGCGAATGCAATAGGAATCCCGCCGCGCAACCTTCATACAGTCCTTGATATTCAAAACCCAATCATCATAGATAGGCTGGAGCGTGCTAGCCACGCGTGCTTCGATCTTAACACACACCCAGAAGAAGTGCAGAACGACCAAGACTCTGACACCATTGCAGACGAAAGCGAGCTTCTGCGGATGCTATAGAAATTCTCACGCGTTCTGAAGCATAGTGGATGTCCCTGGTTCCTTGATCTGTGTATGTCTCTTGGTTTTATTAGTGTGGTAATAGCTTGCTGGCTGTCGAGTGAGTTTGTGCTTTGGTCTAGCTTTGTTTATCCTCTGTCATGTGTGTTTCTTGTGCTTGAGTAAGCCAGTCTTGGGGGGATGTGGTTGGTAGTCTCGGATTGTTGCGATGGTGAAGAGAGTCCTTGTGCTGTACCATTCTGGTTTTGTTCAGAATGCATTTCGTTGAGTTAAATTCGAGTTTGCATGCATGGAAGTTTCGCGGGCACACTGTGGCGCGCGTGTTGTCATGTGCTGCTTGAATCCCAACAGTATTCGCATGTTGCAGCTGAGTTAGCACAGAACACTGACCCCCGAGCGCGATGGAGGGGTTGCGGTAGTATGACAAAAGCAGATGATCCAAGGGCAGCTGGCCGTTCCTCGGCAGTTCAGTGTAGCGAGAAACAGGGTGTAGTCTTTTGCCACGTAATAGACCCTAGGGTAGGGCAGGGCCAGCTGTCCTTGAAATAATGGGGTTGATAAAATCAGATCTGCTCCCGCGGGCATTTCGCCCGTCAGTTCTGCTCCCGCGGGCATTTCGCACGTCAGTTCTGCTCCCGCGGGCATTTCGCACGTCAGTTCTGCTCCCGCGGGCATTTCGCCCATCAGTTCTTCTCCCGCGGGCATTTCGCCCATCAGATCTGCTCCCACGGGCATTTCGCCCGTCAGATCTGCTCCCGCGGGCATTTCGCCCGTCAGTTCTGCTCCCGCGGGCATTTCGCACGTCAGTTCTGCTCCCGCGGGCATTTCGCCCGTCTGACAATTCTAAAACAAGTTAGAGACCGATCTCTGGGGTAAGACAATTCTATCGGAGTCCCTCGTAACAAAATATTTTCGTGTACACCAGGCTGTCCCTCTGCTTTCGGGAAATCTGACGGGTGGGGCTTGCCCCAGGAGCCTCGGAATCAGACCACCAATCAGAATGTTCGGTTGGCTTAAAAAATAAGCCAATAAGACGAAATGTTCAATGTACAGCGTGTACACCTGTCCCGCGCTAATTTCAACCCCCCCCAAAAATTATCAGAGCCACCTAGACCAGATTCGGCTGTATCTTTCAGACACCCAGGATCAAAAGGATATGAACATGCTCTCCTCATCGGTAGTTTAAAAAAGACATTCCGTCAGTGGATCAGGCGCACCACCCACTCACACGGGCAATGTTTTCAGTTGCGACCTCTGTTGCGTCCACGTACTCGAAGGGAGTCCAAAGCTTTAGCTTCTCTAAAATAGGTATCGAGCTATACAACCCTTGGTTCCATAAATAACAAGGGTACCCACCCACGAGGGTCCAACTTCAGGGGTTGAAATTGGCGGGGAAAAGGTGTACAACAACTCACGCGCGGCGCTTGTTTGCTGCGGGGTTTTCCGTACAGTACAACAATGGAATGGAACGCTTGTACAGTGTACGGAACTGTACTGTTCTGTACAGTTCAAGCGTATGCTCGCAATCAAAGCCATAGGCTCATGTGTGGTTGCACTGTACAGCGGTTCTTACTGTACACATTGGGAGAGGGCAGGGCAGCTGTCAGCTGTGTTGGCATGGAAGTTGGAACTGGCGTGTGGCCGCTGACCTGAAAGTGTGGTCGAGGCTATGGTTGATACGAGCAACGGCATATGACTGCTAGGCGGTTACGACGGAACGGAACCGATTTTCCCGCAGACTCAGGCGTGAAGCAAGCGGGCAATCAAACATCCAAGAGGAGTTTAGGGCGTGGTGCACGCGTTCGTGGTTTCGACTGTCTGAAAATGCCTTTCCGTTTGCCTGGACGGTTTGTAATCTTTGGCGTTTCTACGTTATGTCTTTGCGTTGATCATATCAATGTCGCATGTACCAAGTCCAGAGTACTACTAGGGATCTATCGCTGTGAGCTGCCGATCTTACACTTGACTCTGTCGTGCCGTCGAGTTACATCATATTATCCGTCGTTGCTACATCCTATTCTTTACTGAAGAATAGGCCTCTGTTCGACGGCCTACTATTCGGAGTGATATGGCAGCTATCATTGCGTCGTGCTTTCGGGTATCGTGCGCTCCAGGGGTCCAAGTCAACAACAAAAGTTTGGTAGTTTCGTATTCCATCAACAACTCCCTTTCGGCTCGTTCCGCGCCACACGTTCCTCCTGCGTTTGGCCGTGGCGGCGGCAAAACAAATCGGCAGCCTCTGGAAGGAAGCAGCAGATACTCTCTCGTGACGCCTTTCAAGAAGAATCATGGAAGCACCAATGATCATCCTTCCGCACCTTCCGGCGCTGCCGCTGCTGCCAGCCGCAGCACCATGACGACGACCACAGGAGGACCCGCAGTTTCTGAAGCAGGAGGACCCGCAGTTTCTGAAGCAGGAGGACCCGCAGTATCTGAAGCAGGCGGACCCGCAGTTTCTGAAGCAGTCATCGTGGGTGGAGGGTTGGCCGGTCTCGCACTGGCTATCGGCCTCCGGAACATTGGAATAGGCGCCCGGTGATATGCAGCTAGCACCTCAAAACAAGTGGAATGAGGCGAGGATCTAATGCAGGTATCATGGCCCGGATCCTGAAAGCAGGTATCATGGCCCGGATCATGTTACCTACGGGCAGTTCGAGACACTTTCATCAACTTGTGCCACACATTTCCGCTAGTGCAACCATTCAACATGCTAATCTAACAGTGTTTGAGGCAAGTGGTGATATCAGGGATTTCTGGGTGTGAGCAGTCGCAGTGAGGAACAATCACATATGACAGGTGCCACAGAAACCACACACCGGCCCTCTCACACATCCAGTTTCAAACTGTCATATCTAACTTAGATGTGACGTCCCAACGGCACTTTCAACCCTAAACCCTACTAAGTAGTAGAGGTTTTTTTTCATTGTATGTCCGTGTTTCTCATCCAACACATTCCAACCGCGCAGGCCCTTGAAGCATCCCAAAGGCCCAAACCATGATCATGCTATTTCCCGTACCATCTTGCAGGTATATGAGGCTCGTGACAAGGTCATTGGGGAGGGGACTGGCATCTTTCTGTTTCCCAACGGCCTTAGAGCACTCAACAGAATCGACCCAGCCATCGTGACACAGGCATGCCCGAATGTCATCCGTGACATCATGACATGCTCACATTCATGGCATGCTCACACTCATGGCATGCTCACATTCATGGCATGCTCACATTCATGGCATGCTCACATTCATGACATGCTCACATTCATGGCATGCTCACATTCTTGGCATGCTCACATTCATGACATGCTCACATTCATGGCATGCTCACATTCATGGCATGCTCACATTCATGGCATGCTCACATTCATGGCATGCTCACATTCATGACATGCTCACATTCATGGCATGCTCACATTCATGACATGCTGACATCATGACATGCTCACATCATGGCATGCTGACGTCATGACATGCTCACATTCATGACATGCTCACATTCGTGACATGCTCACATTCATGACATGCTGACATCATGACATGCTCACATTCACGACATTCTGACATCATCATAAGCTGACATCATCACATGCTGACACAGTCATATCTTTCTTGCCTTCCCTTTCCCCGCATCATCATGTACTGTTGATTGCTTCCGTTCCATACCCCTTTCCCCAATCTACCACCATTCCACTTCCCCCAATCACGCCTGAGCCATTCCATTCCTTTAATTTCCCATTCACTTTCCTTCCAGCTACTTTCGCAGGGAGTCCCAAACCCCACATGCCTCTTCCTCACCCCGTTCGGCCACCGCCTCTCCTGCTGAGGCCTGTCGACCAACATGACTGCGCAGTACAGCTTCCCAATGCTGGCGATTGCCTGGCGGCGAGAGGTGCACGATGCTCTCTTTCCTTGATTCCCCATCCCCTTTCTCCTCCAGCTACTTTCTCGGGGAGTCCCAGATCCCACATGTCTCTTCCTCACCCCGTTCGGCCACCGTCTGTCCCGCTGGGGCCTGTCGACCAACATGGCTGCTCGGTATGGCTTCCCAATGCTGGCGATCGGCTGGCGAGAGGTGCACGATGTGCTCTTCCGCATGCTGCCAAGAGACGCCGTCCACACCGGCCACAGGCTTGTTGCGATGTCACAGAGGGAGGAGGCGGAGGGGGGTGGAAAGGGCAGCGGCACGGTGAAGTGCGTCTTTCGAAAGGTGGAGCGTGGGACGAAGCGTCTACTGGAGGTGGAGGTGAGTGAGGAGATGGGAGCGGTGAAGGTGATGTGATGTGTGGTTGAAGGCTCAGACGGAGTTTGTATGGGGGGAGAGAGGGGGGGAGGGGGGGGGAGTAGTGGGGGGAGGAGGGGAGGGTGGGAGAGGGAGGGAGGGCGGGTGGTGGTTAAGGGTGGGGCACTGGCAGGAGTGGATGGCAGATTGTGACAGGGGTGTATTGTTTTGCACAAGTGTTCCTGCTGTATGACTGTGTGAATGCTGTTCCCATACTCCCTTCCATACCCCCATTTGAATTCCCCTCATTCACCTACCGTCGTGACTGTTGTCCATTATCCCTTCATTTCCCTTTCCTCGCCCTTTACCTCTCCTTGACCTCTCCTTGACCTCTCCTTTACCTCTCCTTTACCTCTCCTTTACCTCTCCTTTCTCTGACCCTGCCCTCCAGACGCCGCTTCTTTTGGGAGCAGATGGCATTTTCTCCGAAACCAGAAAGCATTTGCTGGGGCAGCAGGAGGGGCGCAATGAGAATGGCGGGTTAGTAGGAGAGGAAGTGGGGCCTCGAGACACTGGGCGAACTATCTGGAGGGCCATCATCGACAGCAGCCTTGTCTCCCACCCAGTATGTCACACTGAGATCCGGCCTCACATCCCATCACATCTCCGCTACCCTCACATCCCATCACATCTCCGCTACCCTCACATCCCATCACATCTCCGCTACCCTCACATCCCATCACATCTCCGCTACCCTCACATCCCATCACATCTCCGCTACTCCCACATCCCATCACATCTCCGCTACCCCCACATCCCATCACATCTCCGCTACCCTCACATCCCATCACATCTCCGCTACCCTCACATCCCATCACATCTCCGCTACCCTCGCATCCCATCACATCTCCGCTTCCCCCACATCCCATCACATCTCCGCTACCCCCACATCCCATCACATCTCCGCTACCCTCACATCCCATCACATCTCCGCTATCCTCACATCCCATCACATCTCCGCTACCCTCACATCCCATCACATCTCCGCTACCCCCACATCCCATCACATCTCCACTACCCCCACATCCCATCACATCTCCGCTACCCCCACATCCCATCACATCTCCGCTACCCCCACATCCCATCACATCTCCGCTACCCCCACATCCCATCACATCTCCGCTACCCCCACATCCCATCACATCTCCGCTACCCCCACATCCCATCACATCTCCGCTAGCCCCACATCCCATCACATCTCCGCTACCCCCACATCCCATCACATCCCGTCACAACCCCATCAAACCATAACTGAACCCATACCATGATCAACTTATGTGCAGTCATGATCATACAATCACTAACTGAAATCAACAATCTCCTGACCTCTGGGCACTCAGCAATGATCAGGTGCTGTCACAAGCAGGTCATAGGAAGGCTGTTATAACTGTGCTACACGTTACACTGGAGTGCTTGTGTGGCGGGCAAGCGTATTCACAAACCCACAGGCGCATCAGCAGCCCTACACCCTGGTCTCATTCGGTAGTAGTAGCAGTACAGAAGTTACCACCAGTCATGAAACAGTTTAGCAGCATCTACCTATTTTCTTTACAACTCTCCGCTCTTTGCCTCGTGCGTGGTTGTGCTTGTATGTACTAACTCTACCTGGAACCCAATCTCACCGCAGTCCTCGGTTATGATAAACAGGGCAGGTTGACACCTGCTGGACTATCATCTCTTTTCCTACTCCCTCTTTCCATGCTTCCTCCCCTTCCCACAGCTACTGCAGCCACAGCACAGTCTCAACATACTAGCTGGCGACCGTGTGGGAGCCGTCCTGAACGGCCACGCAGGCAAGCTTTACTGGGGCCTCGCGCTTGCTGACGGGGATGATCCGACGGTCAGCAGCAGCCGATCCAGGAGCGGGGAGGAGGCGAGGGATAAGATCCTGCGAGCAGTGAAGGGGTGGGATTTGCTGCCGCAGTTGGCTGAGGCCACTCCACCAGAGCTAATAGTGGAACGCCGCATGCTTGACCTGCCCACCCTGCCCTTCTGGGTCAAAGGCCGCACTGCTCTACTGGGAGGTAAGGCTGGGATGGCTGTTCTTGAGGGGTTGAACCAGGTTCATCTGGGCGGATATGAAGGCGATATTACATATACTAGAGCTTTCATAAGCTCAAACTGGGCTCAGTTTGCTGCCTCTTTCCCAGCCTAAGTACTATTCGTGTTCCGTTCCTTCGGATGCGGTGCATGACAATAGTCAGCATAAGGTCAAGGAACCAGACTATGTTTGTAAACATGCGTAAGGCTCTTGTTTACTTTTCTATCTCTTCTACGCCTTCCATGCTTGGATCCGTGCCTTTTCAGATGCGGCTCATGCAATAACGCCAGAGCTGGGTCAGGGGGCGAACATGGCGTTTGAGGACGTGGCACAGATGGTGGAATGCATCCGCGCCTACTCAGATGTCAGGTGGGTGTTGGCGTTGCAGGGTGTCTTTTGAAATTCTCAAAAGAACCCTGCAATGTTGAGGATGCGGCACAGATGGTGCGCACTCACTCGCATATCAGGTGGGTGTTAGCACATGTCAGGTGGGTGTTAGTGCATGCCAGGTGGGTGTTAGTTCATGCCAGGTGGGTGTTAGTGCATGTCAGGTGGGTGTTAGTGCATGTCAGGTGGGTGTTAGTGCATGCCAGGTGGGTGTTGGCGCATGTTGGGTGAGTGTTGGTGCATGTTAGTTGAGTGTTGGTGGATGTCAGGTGGGTGTTAGCACATGTCAGGTGGGTGTTGTGCATATTAAGTGGGTTTTAGTCCATGTCAGGTGGGTGTTGATGAATCTCAGGTGGGTGTGTTGGTGCATATCAAGTGTGTGTTAGTGCAAGCCTTTTGGATTAAATTCCATGCGAGATGGGATTCACTGCGTGGCAAATAATGCTGTTGCATGTATGCCTCGCTCCCTCAATGTCTCACAGCATTGATGACTCCACGCAGTTTTTCCGCATCCTCATTGCCCATTGCCCACTCCACTAATGCCAATTGAGGCATCAACTCGTCCTTCCGTTCTCTCTATTCCCATCTCTTTTCAGGCGTGCACTGGAAAGCTTCCAGTCCCTTCGCATGCCACGTGTGCATGACGTGGCAGCAATGAATAATGCGTCAGCACTGTATGGGGATGCACGAGCATGCAACGGGAACGGGAACGGGAACAGAAAGAGAATTCTAACAGGTGCTGCACCACTAATCAAGGGAGCGGTAACGACGTTGCTGGCAGCTGTGACAGAGAGGCATGATACTTTTGATTTCCTCCTTGCACATGACACTGTTGCAGTGGAGGGGCACGACACACATTCCGTATTGCGTAGTGACTGGATGCCACCGTACTCAATGAAGCTGGCCAGAACTGAGGCCCGTTAATTCTTATTATTATTGATTATTATTATTGATTATTATTATTTATTAGTAATATAATTACTATACTCCTTCTCCCATGAGTCAAGTCAGACTTTAGCCAACCTGAGCAACTGGACTCAACAGGTGCATCTGAAATCAACAGGTGCAGCTGGAATAAACAGGTTCAGCTGGAGTCAACAGGTGCAGCTGGAGTCAACAGGTGCAGCTGGAGTCAACAGGTGCAGGTGTAGTCAACAGGTGCAGCTGGAGTCAACAGGTGCAGCTGGAGTCAACAGGTGCAGCTGGAGTCAACAGGTGCAGCTGGAGTCAACAGGTGCAGCTGGAGTCAACAGGTGCAGGTGTAGTCATCCCAGCTGCTTATTTGACCCATCAGCCGTATCCCAAGCCTTCACCCCCCCATTCGTCTGCACCAGCACGGGCGGCACAACACCAGCCAGCTTGACAGTGGGAAACACAGCACTTAGGGAACCACTGGGTGGCAATGGCAAGCTCCTGGCATCTAGCCAGTCACAGATGTCGCGAACCACCCTGGGGACTATTGAGTCAACTTAATCGAGGTGGCTTTTCAGTCAAATCAAAAGGTGGCAAGCTCCTGGCATCTAGCCAGTCACAGATGTCGCGAACCACCCTGGGGACTATTGAGTCAACTTATCGAGGTGGCTTTTCAGTCAAATCAAAAGGTGGCAAGCTCCTGGCATCTAGCCAGTCACAGATGTCGTGAACCACCCTGGGGACTATTGAGTCAACTTAAAACGAGGTGGCTTTTCAGTCAAATCAAAAGGTGGCAAGCTCCTGGCATCTAGCCAGTCACAGATGTCGTGAACCACCCTGGGGACTATTGAGTCAACTTAAAACGAGGTGGCTTTTCAGTCAAATCAAAAGGTGGCAAGCTCCTGGCATCTAGCCAGTCACAGATGTCGTGAACCACCCTGGGGACTATTGAGTCAACTTAAAACGAGGTGGCTTTTCAGTCAAATCAAAATGTGGCAAGCTCCTGGCATCTAGCCAGTCACAGATGTCGTGAACCACCCTGGGGACTATTGAGTCAACTTAAAACGAGGTGGCTTTTCAGTCAAATCAAAAGGTGGCAAGCTCCTGGCATCTAGCCAGTCACAGATGTCGTGAACCACCCTGGGGACTATTGAGTCAACTTAAAACGAGGTGGCTTTTCAGTCAAATCAAAAGGTGGCAAGCTCCTGGCATCTAGCCAATCACAGATGTCGTGAACCACCCTGGGGACTATTGAGTCAACTTAATCGAGGTGGCTTTTCAGTCAAATCAAAAGGTGGCAAGCTCCTGGCATCTAGCCAGTCACAGATGTCGTGAACCACCCTTTGGGCTAGTCAACTTAATCGAGGTGGCTTTTCAATCAAATCAAAAGGTGGCAAGCTCCTGGCATCTAGCCAGTCACAGATGTCGTGAACCACCCTGGGGACTATTGAGTCAACTTAAAACGAGGTGGCTTTTCAGTCAAATCAAAAGGTGGCAAGCTCCTGGCATCTAGCCAGTCACAGATGTCGTGAACCACCCTGGGGACTATCGAGTCAACTTAATCGAGGTGGCTTTTCAGTCAAATCAAAAGGTGGCAAGCTCCTGGCATCTAGCCAGTCACAGATGTCGTGAACCACCCTGGGGACTATTGAGTCAACTTAATCGAGGTGGCTTTTCAGTCAAATCAAAAGGTGGCAAGCTCCTGGCATCTAGCCAGTCACAGATGTCGTGAACCACCCTGGGGACTAGTCAACTTAATCGAGGTGGCTTTTCAATCAAATCAAAAGGTGGCAAGCTCCTGGCATCTAGCCAGTCACAGATGTCGCGAACCACCCTGGGGACTATTGAGTCAACTTATCGAGGTGGCTTTTCAGTCAAATCAAAAGGTGGCAAGCTCCTGGCATCTAGCCAGTCACAGATGTCATGAACCACCCTGGCAACAACGTGATCGGGCTCTCCACATGTGAGGGCGTGCCAGGCGCCCTCATACTCCTTTATCTGCTTGTCTGCGCTGCTCGCTCGAATGAAGAGGTCGTGGACGGCGGCCATGTCTATGACCTTATCTTCTGTTCCCTGCAGGATCAGTAGGGACACCGTCACCTGATTGGCATGGGTAGAAAGGAAAATGAGTTGGATTGGCTTTTGAGTCGACTCAAAAGAAGAGGTCGCGGACGGCGGCCATGTCTATGACCTTATCCTCTGTTCCCTGCAGGATCAGGAGGGGCACCGTCACCTGGTGATTGTGACGGGTAGAAAGGGAAGGGAGTTGGATTAACGCAAACACGCAGGCAGGAAGGTAGGAAGGGAAGAAGGCAGGAATTTAGGAAGGCTAAACCCACGCACCCACCCACCCACCCACGCACACACGCACACACACCCACAGACGCACGCGCAGCGCACGCGCAATAACATGCAGAACGTGCCTCACCTCTTCCATTCGTGCCTCACCTCTTCCATGCGTGCCTCACCTCTTCCATGCGTGCCTCACCTCTTCCATGCGTGCCTCACCTCTTCCATGCGTGCCTCACCTCTTCCATGCGTGCCTCACCTCTTCCATGTGTGCGCAGATGTCCAGGGTGGTCTGATAGATCTGCAACGATGTGCCTAGCCGTAGCCGGTCATGATATGCAAAAGAGTGGTTGTTGGCCCTCTCTCTCTTCTCAGGCACCTGCCACGTCGAGGCATTTACACATTCATATGCGCACACATGCACACATGCACACATGCACACATTCATATGCGCACACATGCACGCATGCAGACATGCACACATGAATCCAAAATGGCAATGGCAAAGAAAGGAGGTGACATCCGATTACCTTCAGGTGAGTTTTACCATTAACCCAGAAAACGTGTCCAAAGGAAATATTCATCGAGAGAAATGTCCAAAGATTTTTCGACTGTTTCGTATGAAAGAAGTGAATCTATTGTTTTACCTTAAAGCATTTGTCAAGTTTGCCGCTGACGGGCAGGAGCTTCCAGGTAGGAAAGATGCGTGCGAAGCAGGAGAAGGGAAAGATCAGTGGTGCAGGGAGGGTGAGCTCCTTGGCAACCTGGGCGAGTGAAGGGGGTGGGGTAGAGGAGGGGACAGCACGGGGGGGAATGTATGCATGGTGAAGGAGAATGGAGGCCACAGATGAAAGGGGGCGGGATGGGTGAGAGGGATGGGAGGAGAGAGACGCAAGGGGGAAGAAAGAGAAATACTAGGGACGAAAAGGCTTGAAGGAGAGGGACAGAGATGAGAGACGGATGTACCACCACTACTACCCGGATCTCACTGTGGAGCGCTGCACCGTGAACAGCTCTACTGCACCGCACTTCACCCCACTTATTGGCACTGAACCGCACAGCACAAGCTCTAAGTATCTCACACCATCTACTAATCTCACACATAAGCACTGCTGCACTGCACGTGAAGGCCTTTTCTACTTGACTGGCAACACACAGCCCCACAGGTAGGCTCCCCTGTTCGGCCATACACTGCACATATGATAACCTTACACAGAATTGCACATATGATAACCTTACACATAGGTGCAGCTAGAATTGCACCGTTCCAAAGGCTGGCGTCTCTTCGTGCGACTTGAATGGCCACAGCACCTCCCATGGACTCGCCGTAGACAAAGAATGGCAGATGGGCGAACCTAGGGTTTGCTGGGGGGAAAGGAGGGAGAGAGGGGGTGTGAGAAACAAGTACGCGTGCTTTGCGTCAACTAGAAAGACTTGAATGGCCACAGCACCTCCCATGGACTCGCCGTAGACAAAGAAGGGCAGATGGCCGAACCTGGGGCTTGCTAAGGGGGGACATGGAGGGGTGTGAACAGAGAACAGCTGTTGGGATCAGGGAGGAAGAGGAAGAGCACGCGTGAATTCTCTTGAAGGGAAGTTAGATTAGAACAAGATAAAATGATTTGCACATGCACTCCACACTCTCCTGCAAGCACTCCGCACTAGCTTCAGGACCGACTAGAATCATTTAGCTTCCCAACTGACTCGAGCACACCATGTCTGACTTGAACACCACCTCAGCCGCACCGTCACAGCCGCACTCACCTTTTGCACGGCGGGCGACTTCAACCACGTCATCCACAAGGCAGGAGAAGCTGTGGATGTAGCCATGGCGGCCGGCTGACAGCCCATGGCCCTCATATAGCCCTTGCCCGCCAGCTGCACTGCCACGTCTGGTGGGAGAAAGTGGCACATGGAAGGAAGAAGGGTATGGGACAGCCTGTGACGACCGGCTGACAGCCCATGGCCCTCATAGTCCACTCCCAGGGCATAGCCTTTGCCTGCCAGCGTTACTGCCATGTGTGAACGGGGAGGGGAGGACGAGGGAGAGGCGAAAGGAGATTTGGCGGATTGGGAGAGAGGAATGAGCACCTAATGTGTGATGCTTCTGCGATTCATGCACAGTTCAAAGGGTGACGAAAACGTGTGCTTGTGATTGCTTCTTGCTGGAATCAATACGAGGTAAAGCATTCGATGCATTCACATCACACCAGGAGGAAGAGCACTCTCTGCCCTTTGCCTATGCTTCCATTTCTCCATGCCAGCCCAAAGCCCCATGCAGCAAAATGCCACATGCCACACGCCACATGCCCCACGCCCATGGCCCATGACCCATGCCCCATGACCCATGCCCCATGACCCATGCCCCATGACCCATGCCCCATGACCCATGACCCATGTCCCATGCCCCATGATGTCCCATGAACCATGCCACATGCCCCATGCCCCATGATCACATGCCCCATGCCCCGTGCCACATGCCTCATGACCACCATGCCCCGTGCCCCGTGCCCCATGCCTCATGACCATGCCCCATGACCACATGCTTATGCCACATCACGCCCATACCTTCAGAGATCTCAGTGTACGTCCCCCCCTTCTCCCATAACCACGGCAAAAACAGCACCAAAAGTCACCCAATCGTTTGCCAACGTGTGCCCAACCCTTCCCTCTAGCGAGCAATCACCTTCAAAGATGTAGGTGCACGTTTCCCCGTACCCATGGCAGCCCACCACCACTCCCTTGAGCCGCCCGTCTCCGGGAAGCCATTCCTTGGTGAATAGAACCACCCCCCGCGCGTTGATTATATACTCCTCTACCGAGGCCACGCCGTGTGACGCCTGGGCCGGGAGGGGGATTGGGAGGTGACATTTGAGTCGACTCATCAGATGTCCTTGGTGAAGAGCACCACCCCCCGCGCATTGATAGTAATGCACCCCTCTACCGAGGCCATCCCGTGTGACGCCGGGGAGGGGGAGACGGAGTAACGGTTCGAAACAACTTGTGAGGCGCCTCAAGAGAACCACCCACCGCGCGTTGATAATATACTCCTCAACCGAGCTCACCCCGTCAGAGGCCTGGGAGGGGGGAATGGGGAGGTGACTTTTGAGTTGACTCAGATGTCTCCTTGGAGAAGTGAAGAGAACCACCCCCCGCGCGTTGATGATATACCCCTCAACCGAGCTCACCCCGTCAGAGGCCTGGGAGGGGGGAATGGGGAGGTGACTTTTGAGTTGACTGAGATGTCTCCTTGGAGAAGTGAAGAGAACCACCCCCCGCGCGTTGATGATATACCCCTCAACCGAGCTCACCCCGTCAGAGGCCTGGGAGGGGGGAATGGGGAGGTGACTTTTGAGTTGACTCAGATGTCTCCTTGGAGAAGTGAAGAGAACCACCCCCCGCGCGTTGATGATATACCCCTCAACCAAGCTCACGCCGTGTGAGGCCTTGGGGGGAATGGAGAAACGGTTTGAAACAACTGTGGGAATTTTTCTATGGCGCAGCTATACGTCAGTCCATCAACTGGTTTTCAGTAGATTGGTGCACGGCCCTGGAGAGCATCAAAAGCGGGGTCCTCTGCATGACAAGAAACTCAAGGAAGGAGGGACGGAGGAATGGAATTTGAACATATCGACTGGTCCAATGGACCACAGACGTATAGACAGACGACAGGGAGGGACAGACGACAGGCAGAGGGACAGACGACAGGCAGAGGGACAGACGACAGGCAGAGGGACAGACGACAGGGAGGGACAGACGACAGGCAGAGGGACAGACGACAGGCAGAGGGACAGACGACAGGCAGAGGGACAGACGACAGGCAGAGGGAGAGACGACAGGCAGAGGGACAGACGACAGGCAGAGGGACAGACGACAGGCAGAGGGACAGACGGGACAACGGGAGTGCAACAGACTGAAGAACGGACGGACAGCCAAGCAGATCGCCTTCCCTTTGTACTTTTTTTTCTTTCTTGCTCGGAAGCGGGGGGGAGAAGGGGGGGATACGAAATACGACGTTCGGTTGTCCTTATGGGGAGCTTGGTCAGATGGGTTAGGCTGCACCGTGCATAGATTCGATTAGGGGACATTAGGGTTAGGCTGCACCATGCAGCGCTATAAAAGCTCACGTAGAATGAGGGAGGCCTCTTGTGCGGCTGCCGTGCTTTCCTCCTAGCGGCCTCCCATTCTAGGCTCGGCGGCGCCTTTCGGGGAAGCACGAGCCGCTTAGCCACGTATAATAAGGCTCCGAGAATGGCGGCGGGAAACACGGGGCCCCACATAACCGTCGCCTACGAAGGTTTCTGCGCTTATCATCCAGCTGCTAGGGCGGGTCGAAAGCAGCAAGTCTGACGATAAGTTCCGATCCGATCATGACGGAGTTTCACATCACACGCTGGACGTCGATGCTGACATCGAGGGAAACTGGGTTGGCTGGAGCCCATCTCGTCATGCGAGCCCGCTGTTTCTCCCGATCCACCTGAACTCCCCCCCCATCCACCCAACCCCCCCTCCCACACTCCAGTTCCCGCTTTGTCCTTGCACAAATATCAGCGGGAAAACCGGCAATACAGCGGTAGTACTAGGGAAACGAACCGTACAGCTGTTCCGCTAATTTCGTGGAGTGGCCTGAGTCGCCACGCCACTAGAGGTTCAGAACCTGACACAGATAACGACAAACAAGGCATAGTAATTACAGCTGTACAAACATGTACACCTGATGGCCGTTAGAGACCCGCATACTCACTGCAGTTCAGTCAATTTCGTCAACCTCTAGAACTCGCAAATGGGTAAGGAGCCGAGGGGTAACGTGTTTATTTTTTATTTCGAAACAGTATGGTGTGACAAGAATAGTTTCATGCGTGTTGACCCAAGCTATCACCTATGATTGCGAAGTACGCATCATCGACATTAACATTTGTCGCAGTTCATAACAATGTTGGCCAACAACCTGGCCAATGCAAGAACGACAGCAGCGAGTCACTCAAACCAACTCGACACATTGACTTATGCGACAATGTGCACAAGGAGTGCACTATGTGCTACAGCTTGCCGTGCATCTCAGTACTCAAATGCGGAACCACTCCGCAAATTCGGTGTAACCGTCCATGGCGGCGGTGACACCGAGGTCAATCAGCTGCTCGCGGCAGGAGGGCGTTTGATCCAAAGAGGTACAACGCGCCCATGGCGCACTGGCGCCACAGGGCCCGTGGCGGGCAGATTCAGGTTGAGCCGCGGGCTTGCCCTCTCGAGCCTCTTTATAGTATTGGGGTTGTGGATGTCGAAAAATGCCTAGATATCGCGCGGAATAAAGTTGACAGCTTTCGCATAGCCGATCAACATGTCGCAGGCCGACCGTGCATTACGCCTCGCTTCGCGAGTCGTCGGGTCGGTGTTCTCGTAGACACTCGCGTTCGAGAGGGGTGCGTCCTACGAGACGCACGATGTCGCCTCAGATGGCTCAGCGACGAGCGGGTCTTTGCCAGGCTCCTCGCACGTTGGCTGGTTGTCGTCGACCGCGGCGAACTCTGCAGCATCGCAGTCGGGCCGAGGTAGAGCCGTCCGATCAAGGTGCCGACGTCGCCCATCCCTCCTCGATCGCATCTTCAACCTCCTTGTCACCCGGTTGGTCGATGACGTGCTCGAGCTGCATCTCCCACGATTGCAGTAGGCATCAAGTACGCCACCAGCAGCGCTGGATCGTCCACGGGCCGATATTCAACCAGGAATCGTTGAGCCACCCGAACGCGTCACGCTGGTTCGACCGGTAACGCGCCATTGCAACAGTCGAGCCATCTCTGAACTCGGCGGTGAAAGCCCACAGCCCGTGAGCGCGGTACCTCGCCTTCGCCATGGCGATGAGGCCGTCGTCGAGGGGCTGGTTGAAGCAAGTGGTCTTCAGTGGGAGGTAGACCAGCCTCACGTTGCTTAGAGAACGGGTGCGAAACCCCGAACAGGTCTTCTGCAGTCGCCGTCTTGAGATGAAGCATTGTTGAGCAGAATGACCATACTCCTGTTCTTCGCCGCGTACATTGCAGCGTTGAGCTGCTCATTGAAGTGCGTAAAGAGCTGTGGGAGCGGGGGAAATGGGTTATACATGTGTGGGAAGGCATTGCTTTCCGAACTTGCATACGGAAGCACACGAAACATGCATACATCTAATAACCGAGCGTACTACTAGCGGATCGCATAAGCAACATACACTACATGGCTGTTCTGAACTTACACGTGCAAACATCCACCCTTTGTTGTTCGACCGCTAATAACACAGATCTCTGGATCCTAGTTCGGGCGAAAGTCCTTCAGACGCTTCGCCTTCGAAATAACGATGGGGCCTGAAGGAGTTGCTACCGTCAGCATTCACAAGAAGTCTGGGCGTCAGCTCTCCCTGGCGATTTTGTGCCCCGCGACACGCGCCTGGCCATACGTTTTTCGCGGGAGCACCGACAGAAACAGCGACGTTTCATCAAAATTGTACACATCGCTGGGCGGCACCTACAGATGCATGAGGAGCTGCTGAAGCTGCATCTTGCAGGTGTTCATGGCTGACTCCTGGTCGGCAACCTTACCGCGAAAACTCGTGCAACGAACGTCGTGATGCTGCATCGTTCGGCGCACCTACCCGACTGAGCAACGGAAGGACCGAAGGATCCCTATGCCGCGAGCAATCTTGACGGCGTGATGGTTGTGGTGAGCGTCAACGAAACACCAGCTGGTTTGGCGTTGGCGATCCAACGGAGCATCGCCTGCTCCAGCTCCAGGTGCGCACCACCACGCACGCAAATGGTGTTGCTACTCTCGGACGTCTCACACCGACGAGACTCGCCCCGAAGCACACGGGCAATTGTCGACCTATCGGGCCGGATGCCAAAGCGGGTGAAACACCACCGGGCCAGGTCCTCTTGGCGGAGCCGCAAATTGTTAGCAGCATGGCTACGAATAGCCCACTTGATGTCTAAGGGTAACTGCGCGCGGCCCAGTAGGCGAGGCATTGTAGGTGGCGTTGGTGTGAGTGGGAGGGAATACTTTGGTGCTCATGTCGAGTGCTCATTTTTTCCATGGTATGTTATGTTCTCATAACCTTGCAATTTTCTGGTGATGAAGTTTGAAACATGTATGTGGGCGTTTTTTGGTTTTTTTAATTGATGGTTACCAGATTCTCTTCATTTGCTAAACCCGAATTTGAAAAACCTGAATTCACTCATAACAAGCATGCGTGACGCCTGTTTCAATATTCACCTAGGCCAGTCACCCTGGCCACCATGGGTTTGTTGCACCTTTTATAGCGCGACGTGGCGTACACCATGTCTTTGTTGCACCTTTCACATCGCGACATGGCGTACACCATGTGTTTGTTGCACCTGTACAGAGCGATGTGGCGTACTCCTTATGTTTGCTGCACTCTGTCCAGCACTACGTGGGTACGGTTAGGAGCGAAGGCTTACGGCCAGCGACTGTCTTGATGCATTTCGTGCATCCCTTCGGCAAAGCCTCAAGTACGAGGAAATGACGAATCGCTCTGTTTTCGAGTTTCCGTTTCCTTGGGGCAGCTGATTTCGACATTTCCAGTTTCTTGTGACCAGGAAAATCATGAAGTTTACATGGTTTTAGTTTAGTGGCCAGTGGAAAAAAATAAGTCTCTCTCGGATGGCTGGCCATTAAGGAGGCATCAACTTTAAACACCTTGCCTCATGGTGTTTAGGGTTGATGCCTCCCAAATAGCACACCCTCCATGAGGGGTATATATTTTTTCTTTCGAGATTTTCGTAATTGACGCGAAAATTTGATTTAGGATATCCTAATAATAAAAACAAAATTATATTATCTGTAAAAAAAAAGGAAATAGCGTAAATAACTGATCGAGCGTATCGGACGCGAGCGCGAAGCG